AAAGCCTTAAGGATTTATTTGGGCAAAAACCTCAAAAAATTATTTTCTCAAAGCTGTTCAATAACAAAACTCTTTGCAAGTTTATTGAAAGAAATTTTTGTCGATTATTTGAATATTATTGCAACTCCGACTATTGTAACGAACCACAGCTACCCTAATCTTATCTACATACAGGCAGTTGAGCATGTTAGATTCCACTCCATGAAATTCTTTGTTTTTCGTTCTTATAGACAACTTCGAGTTGAATTAGGGTATGCTAAAGAAAAACTACCTTTGTATACGATTTTGTATGCCTTCTCCAGCCTCCTTGCCATGTAATTTGCGTTCAATATCGCAACTTGTGATGCTTTCTTTAGTCCAGCGTGGCCCATCATGCGAATGTAGGCCCATGTGATAGGCATGATACTGAAAATAGTTGAGCTGTCCGGATCACCACGCGGAAAAACCATTTGAGATATGACGCACCTGGCTGAACCCCAGGGGGCGCTGGCAACAGCGCCATGTGATCGGCCTTCGACGGGAATGACTGGATGTCCTGGGAGGAATGGAGCCAGGTGTTTCTTTCTAAATTAGTGAGTGAAGTACTGTAAGAAACATAAAAAAGTATTTGAGTCATCTTAGCTAAATTCAAGTTCCAAAAGAAACATCAGAAATCACACTTAATCTACATCTCTTAATTTTGAGATGATTATGTGGTTTTCGTTTACACTCTGAGGGTTCGTCCTAACGTAGTGTTTCTGCGATGCTGACAACATTCGCGAGTAAAAAATGGCTAAAACGCACCTTTTCAAGTACAGCGCCCCTTGCCATTTTTAAGCGCAACTATTGTTGGCACCGCAGAGGCACCGTCAGTCGTCAAATCTTTTTGCTGTACTATGAATTCTTAGCAGAGCTAGTCTGACAGGAGATCCCATTATTTCCGAATCTATCATCATTTCTTCCTCCTACCACCTTTCATATCCCCACAGATACTCACTCATAAGTAATCAAGCCAAACACGTCTACCGTAATCAGGCTACAGTAACACTCACACTCCAATGGGACCAACACCTGGCCCACCACCACCATGTGGAATACAGAACGTCTTGTGAAGATTCAGATGCGACACATCGCTACCGTAATCACCAGGACGGCAGAGTCCCACCTGCAATTACACATAAAAATGAATTTTATTTTTTCTCGATTAGTGATATTAGTTTGTTTTGGCAGAAATTATCACCTGCGCATTCATATTTGCTCCATCCAAGTAGACTTGACCACCACATTCATGAACTTTGTCAATTACATCGCGAATGGAGGACTCGAAAACTCCGTGAGTTGAGGGATACGTT